ACTTCTCAATGTTTCTGTATAAATAAGAGAAATAAGAAAATATAAATGAAACTGCTTAATCTTATAAAAATAAACATAGGAAAGGTAAACCAGAAACTAATAAATTTGGTTACTTACAGAGAATAAGTAGAAGGAAGATGGAGGGAGCAACACTTCTCAGTGTATACTTTTAGGGTAAAGATTTTAGAACTATGTTAATGTTTTAAATAGTGAAAAAAGAAAAACCGGTAACAATAAAGTAAAAAATTAGAATACAAACGGAAACAAGAGAATGAATTTCAAAATAATAACATAACCACACCGAAGGGGGGAAAAAAACCCCAGTATTTTCTGAACTCAGTAATTTGTCTATATACCTTCAATCAAAAGACAAAAAGATTGCAAACAAATCTTGAACTCTTAGGTTTGTTTTTTGCAGTGCATAGAGTGCAATAATTCTGAAACTACTTTATGTACGTTGCTCATTCCTTAAGCAAATGTATAAATATACTGGTGTTGTTAGGAGCCAGGGATCTACTGCTTGAGAAGAGATAAAAATATGCAAAGGGGGAAGGCAAGGAAAAACCCTGTATCAGCACGAACTCACAAATCAAAAAAAAGCCAACAAGCAGAAGGCTAACTAATAAATGCAGAAGGAAAGGTAGGGTTAGAAAATCACCACTGTGTAACTATCATAGTAATAACTGACCCAGGCAAGAACTATCAATGTATGCTAAAGTTACTGGGTAAAATAGTCTCAAAGTACTTCCCCACAAAGTATTAATTACAAAGGGAAAACATTTAACTTTATAGTAGATAAAACTGGTGGATACCACCTTAGTCAAATGATTAAAGTTAAATATCATCAAAAATAGGACAAAATGCCCCCGATGAAATATACTGAAAAAATGCATAATCTGAATCAAATCATGAAGAAATATCAGACAAACCTAAGTTGAGGAACATTCTACAAAAAAAAGCCTGTATTCTTTAAATATATCATTGTCATGGAAGACAATGAAAGATTAAAGAACTGTTCCAGATAAAAGGAAACTTAAAACCTATTATGTAATGTGTGATCTGAGACTGAATCTTGGATCAAGGGTAAAAAACTGCAATAAAGGACACTGTTAGGAAAATTTGAATATGGACTGTGTATTAGATAATAGTAATTATCTAATAGTAATTTATCAATGTTAAATTTCCTGGTTTTGATACTTGAACTGTGGTTATATTAAAGAATATTCTTCTTAGGAAATACACACTAAAGTAGTTAGTGGTAAAGGGGGACGTCATCTGCAACTTCTCAAGTATTCAGAAAGAAATGTAAGAATACATGTGTATGTGTGTGGGTACAAATGTGTGACACAGAGAATGAAAGTACATGTGACAAAATGTTAACAATTCATGAATCTGGGGGAAGGGCCCAGGAGTTGTTTGTAATATTCTAGAAAATTTTCTGTAAATTCAGAATATTTTAAAATAAAAAATTTTAATAAATAATCCAAGTTGTTATCTGTTTAGGGAAGACATCTGAAGACATTTTACCAGTGGGAAATCTTGTTTGCAGTCTTAAAATACATTTTCTCTGTGAACTCTTCTACTTCATAAATTTGTATGTTTTTAAGGGTCTCAAGATTTTTGTTTAATAAAAATAAGCTTTTGTAAAAATAATTTGAGCATGTTTCTATTTAATTTATATTTTTGCCTCATTTGAAATTTTTATCAAAATAACAAAAGGGTATGAGATTCAACTGGACGGAGGGCTCTGGGGACCATGGTCTCGGGGAACATCTAGCTCAATTGGCATGACACTACTTATAAAGATAATGCTCTACATTCTACCTTGGTGA